TAGTTCCCGCAAACGTTGGTGCCGCTAGTGTACGGGCAGTTAGAAGCATTACAAGAAAAAGGCGTCCATGGCCGCTCTCAGGTTTCTCTCTGTTTGTATGAACAGCAAATTAAATTAAATGTAAAAAAACTAAAAAAAATAGATTTAATATTTTAATGCATTGCAAAATAAGAATATATAAAATTATATAAATATTGTACCGACAATCCTAAGATTCAGACGTGTCTAATATCGCTTTGATACTCGATTTTTTTTAAATTTTTGACATTGTATAATTGTATGATCATTTATCTTGACTTTGAGAACATTTTGCGAGAGGATGATCACTATAACGATCCATTTGTTATGGACAATTTGAACATGATAAAACACAGTATCAATCGGTCGTGCAATCGTTTTATTCATCTAAACGATTTTATCCAGTCCAAAATGTCCATCGCAATCAATTTAATTTTATATGGATAATGCGGTTTATAATATAATGAAATAGATTTTTGTATTGCGAGATTTATTTGAGCATCCGCTGTGGGCTGAATCATATAGCCGAAATATGTACACTAATTTAGCCACAGAAAACAGACTTAATTATTTTAAAAAATGTGACTGGTCACCTGTATAATTTCACAAATTAGATCGCACATTACAAAAAAAATCATATAATTATAAATTTATAATTAGAGGAATTCTATATACAATTTTTTGCGTGTATAGTGATATACAATATAAAAATTACAGATTGCAATCGATTTGATCCGCTTAAAACATAATAGGTACAAAGTATAATATAAATCATTACATAGCTGTACAATAATATTTTACCACATGTTTATCTGGTATTTTTATTTAAGAGTCCTTTGCAATATTATCTGTATCACAGTCTTCGCCATTCTGTACCATTTGTCCCTGTAGAGCACGACGTTTTTGCAGACGTGCACACCGTGGACAGCAATGATTGCGCTTGGTCCAACAAACGCGATGATACACTGCCGAGCATTGCTGACAGATAATCGAGCTTGCGTCCCATGGATAGATTATTTCATCATTACCACATATTTCGCATAAGTGTCCCCTAAGAAGCAGAAATATTTCCTTTAAACTTATTTTTGGTATTAACAGGAGTCTCTTGTATTCCTAATTATACACTACGCGCAACAATTAGGGGATCACTTTAAAACCTGCAAATTTGTCAATATTTCAGAAATTGTATCTCCGCTTCTAAAGGTTGTAAAACAATTTTTCTGGATGCGTTTTAAAGGGTGAAACTTCTACTTTGAAACAGTTAATTAATATATTTGCCGTTCCATCAAATGATCTTTTTCGCAAAGATCAGAAGCAGGTCGTGTTAAAATTCTGAAAATTTCACGACATTCCAACTTTTCACGGGCAAAGCATGAATAAGCTAAAAAATGTCATTACATTTTAAAGTCTGAAACTTTTCCTTTAAAATGAGATCTTGATTCATTATTCTAGCATGTCTAGAAGCTGAATTATCAGGTTCCAACGGAAACTTTACATTTTGCAAGATTTTAATATAAAATCATATAAAAAAGCTGACATTAGAACTGAACGGACTGAATCATATAGTAAGAGAAATATACAGTTATTAATTGCAATCATAATTAAAATAACTGTACATTTTTCTATTATACGGTTTAGTCTCGACGTCAACTTTTTTATTAAGTTTGAAAACAATAATAATGATGAATCTTGACATATAAATTCGGCATTAAAAGTAAGTTATATAAGTAAATAACGGAAAAATGTATCCTTTCTTTTTTTAAATATTCACCTTGCCTTGCAGAGCTCGCATTGCTGTGTAATGTGCGCGTGCATTGTATCGTATGCGGTACGAAGCTCATCCAAGAGAATGCCATTTTGAAGATCAATGAGATCCTTGATGGAATAGTTACCCGAATTTTCGATCATATGTGTGCGCAACCCAATCTTCCACGGTAATCCCTGAGTGCAAGCTTCCACGCATAAAACTAAATACTTCTTCATCATTTGCATTTCCTCTCGCATCCGCTAAAATTTAATAGTAACATACTCAGTGTCTATCTAGATTCTAGATAATATTATCATTTAATAAAATGCACATATTAAAATAATTGTATTTAATGAAGAAACATTTTTTTAATATGATACTCGCATATGTACATTATAATTAAAAAATATAATTTAAGTCTTTTAATTTCATTTTGATAAAAAAGAAACATTTAATTTGCAATGCATAACTTATATCTAATAATTTTTAACTTAATTAATCTATGTATTTTATAATTGTATACATATTATAGTGGTATATTTAAGACTCACCTTTACAAGTGACAAATCTGGAACCAAAGTAAAGAGTTTCGGGTTTAATTCTTCCAGTGGTAGTACAGAACGATCCTCCAAGAGCATCAAAAGCTGCACTGCGGCGCGAGATACCAGACGCGGCTCCATATCCCAGTTTCTGATTACTCTCGCAGGAATGACCATAGCTGTGTTCCAATGGCATCTTTGACAGTAATATAGACCACTGTAGTCGCAAAGTCGAGGCTCTATCCACACTGATTCTAGAAATATCACTATTTTAGTTATCAGATTGCATATAATTAATTTAATTATAAATATCGTGATATAAGAGATATGCATCTATGAAAAAATTCTATGTATCGTCACAATGTGTATTTAACCACAAAAATTTAGGAAAAGATGCAAAAAATGTATTCAAAATACCCTATTGTATCTTAATATATAGTTATACATGATAAAATTGAAGTAATAAAGATGTAAGATATTTATATTGAGGTAACGTGTCTTCCTGACGTTTTAATGTATTAGTATAATACATTACTATTATATATTAGATACCTGTATTCTTAAAGGAATTGCCGAAGCAAGACAGCGATAATCCTTTCGAGAAAGCTTGTAGGAGGACAATACATTCATTATCTTATGCAATATTTTAAAAGTTATTGAAAGAACAGGATAATTAACAAACATTAAACAAATCAATTTATTTTATATAATTATTTACAATTAACAAGATACTTTAATCTAATCTATTAAACACTTACTGAATGTTATTCGTATTTTACATTCCGCGCAACGATAACGTTGCTTTGAAAGACCTTGCTCCGGACAGATATCCTTCGTGTGCGTGTATCCGCCAGCTTCACTGGCAATCACATGCACGCATATACGACACACATTATTCAGACACTTCCAGTGGCAACTAAATTTGCAATCTGAATAAATAAGATGTTTGTTACAAAATTAATGTATTTGTTTTATGCTGTTCTTTTTTTATGTTAACAGATAAACTCGTAACAAAAGTTTAATATTTTTTGCTTAAAATCCAGCAGCAAACACTGGTATTTTCCAAAAAAAATTGACAAAAAATTGGTCTCTTCTATTAAAAACAATAAAATAAATAGAAAATCTCTTATCGATATTCTTACTCAGCTCAGATTTATATCAGTAAAAAATTTTAATTCTGTTACCCTATTACATTTTCTTTTTTATTAAAAAGTAATATAAAATTTAATAATATTTATACATTTAACTCTGAGGCACCTTTGTTTTAAAAATATATTGCATATACTAATTTTAATTTATCCTAATGAGTCAAGGTATAATGACAACTATAAGAACATAAGGACAAAAGGGCTTCCAAGATATTTGAAAGGAAAAAAGAAGATGAAAGATAGGAGTCTAATAGCCAGATTCAGGTGTGGAAACGAGACAAAGGGAGGCCAGTACTGGAGAGAGGATGAAGAAAGGAGATGTAGAATTTGTCACGGTGCGGAGGAGAATATGACACATATATATGTGACAAAATAACAAAGGATGTTACGTCTGTCTAGTCAGTCTCACTTGTGCATAGTGGAGAGTCGTAGCATTTGAATTTTGTGATTTGATAATTTGATTTAATACTGTCTAACTATTTATTGTGACTCACTGTGTCTGAGACTGATTGGCCTAAATTATTCTGGAGACCGGTTTTGAGATTGTTTGCGATGCAGTATCGTGGTGTAACATGGCGAGTCTCCTCACCCCCGATAAAATAGTTGCAATTTGATAAATTTAATTTGGAAATGATTAGTTTTCTAAGAACATCCAGGAAAAAATTAATTTCCCAGAATTTCAACTTTCTTTTATTTCTTTCCTTTCTTCCGTAATTATTCATTTGATTGTGCTCCTTAAGATGAAAGTGTCATCAGAATCTATTTCTCGGTTGTGAGAGAGCTCACTATGATTAAACATCTTTTTATCCTTTGTTATTTTTAAATTATAATTTATTTATGTAATTTTTATTGTCTCTGAAGAAGGGGCAAAAATGAGTCGAAACATGTAAGCTTAATTTTTTAATAATTTTTTATAATAGATAGACTTGCTTGATATATATCGGCGTTGCGTGAAGTTATCTGCGCTTGACTCCTAGTGTCCTTTTCTTTCCAAGTTAATTTTTGATTTATACAGGAGTTTGTATATAATTTAAGAATTATTATATATTTTTCTTTCATTAGATAAAATCCGGTCGTTAGATCTATTTGGATCGCTTGTACTTTTGATTTTAGTACCTTCGCTCTTTTTCTTTTTAACGCGCGTTTGAAAACATATATATCTTATTTTAAATGCTAAATTTTTATGAGATTTCAAGCAACATGAAGAGACCTAATAAAAACTGAAATGTATTATAGTTTTTTTTTATCTATTCGATTTGTCCGACCAATTTATAATCGTAATATAACAACAATCATCAAGAATATCATTTAAACAAAACATTGGAAATTATGCTAATCATCACAATATATATTATATATTGATCAGTTCAGAGAACAGTCTAGAACTGGATTGTTTATAACATTTACCGTTGCATATATACCATGATTGCAGCATCGTCCAAATCGTGCCGCTGCAATGGTCGCAATAAACCGGACTGGATGTAGTAATATAGTACTTCTGCGGTACGAAGTGATGACCAAGAATTACGTGTGTCTCAAAGAGATTCTCGTCCGAAGTCTCACGCAACTCCTGCACGCGCAAACGCAATTCGATCAGCCGTCGAACGAGCCATTTACGTTCATCTGAACACTCGGCGCTCTCCAACACCATCAGTTTGCACTTGTGCACCATCTCTTGAAGGTCCTCCTGAGAAGCATCCTGGGCAAAATAATCATTTACATATATTATATTTTCTCTAGTATTCATCTATCATCTGTAACAAAATAATATTGTATAACAGTACTGGACAAATTTATTTATAATGAGTCTAGTCACTTGCATTACACTAGATTAGTGCATACTAAAAACTGCTGTACATAAAATTAGCAAAGTTAAATGTAAAAACATATAAATATTTTAAATAATTAAATGTATAATAATGACATTGTCATGTTATTTAACAGAATATGTTATATTATTTCAGTGTGATTATATTATGCCACTGTGCGTGTGTTTGTGCGCGCGCGCGTGTGTGCGTATGCGTGTGCGTGTGCATGGGTTGAGGGTGTGGATGTAAGTGTGTAATAGTGAGTGTATTTAGTATCTTGAGATATTTCTCTTAAAGAGAAATATTATTTTAAATAATTTTATATATACCTTAGACAATAACAGCATGGGCTCTACTGATTTTAAGCTGAACGGTATGATACTCTTACTGTCAGAGCTATCATCCGCCTCTCCCGTCATGTAGTCGGAAGAGGATGATGGTGTTGACGTTCCTGTACCAGAACTATTTGCTCGTATCTTCGACTCGTTATATGAGTCGTTCTCTCCAATGGGAAAATTGCTCTTTACGTCTACCATTTTTCTGTACAAAACATCGAAAAGATTAAAAATAAAGATATGTGTTATATTTTTTATAAAACTAAAGCTCATTTTACAATATTACAATATTTATTTAACCATTCCTGATGAGAATATAATTTCTCACAATTTTTAAGTAAATTTCAAAATTTTTCGGAATTTCTTAATTGTAAATTTTATAATTTTTTTTTTTTTTTGAAAACTCAGACTTTTTTTATGAAATTATAATATAATTGAAACACTTTGACAAATATCGAAAATTTCTAGAATTCTTCATATATGTAAATTATGAAATATTTTAAGATTTTTTCAAGAGACGTTAACCACTACTTAAAAAATGTATAAATAATGTTACTTTTAATAATCATATAATATAATAAGATATAACTAAAATATAACTTAATATTAAATAATATTATGCATCTAGAGGGAAATATTAAACAGAGGTACAATTATATCCAGGAGAATATATTTTATAATTCTGTCAAGTTTCAATGAAATCGGTAAGGGTCACTTCTGAGTCTTTTCTTGTAAGAAAAACTGTATAATTAATAATAATAAAGGCTCAAACAAAATTAAGAATTCAAACAGTAATAATAATTTAAATTAATAATTTAATCTAGACAAACTTAATCGCAAAAAACAGCTCAAATACTTCTTTATATAATTTATTTGCTATTTCATTTGTGTGTTTTTGTGGTATGACAAATTTCTTAAACCTGTTGATAGGAATGATAGACTATAGACAGATCCGAGGACTTCTCTGTCCAGATATTTGTCGTACGACAAAAACACACGAAACAGCACCGTAACTATAGAATTTCTCAAATATTTCCGAAAAGTGTTGCAATTTATATATAAATTCTGAAAAAGTGTTATCAAAGACATTAATAAGATAGCATTTGAAAATATTTCTTGAGTGCCTTCGAGTATTATTTTATTCTTGTTTAAACATTTGGTGAACAACAAAGATAAAATGATACTCAAAGGTTAGAGTTTTCGAACGCAGCCTGTGTTCTATAATAGTTTTAATCAATGAAGATCCATGAGGAGAACACGGTAATGCATATCTCAGTCGTTGACAACACAATAACACTTTGATAAATTAAATTTGGACATCATAAAAAATACACTTGCCATATAGTATATAGAATTCAAAACATCGTTCGAAAAATAGGCTAAATCTTCATTGAGTATGTAGTAAGATAAAAACTGAAAAATTGCGTTGCGTATCCTTTCCTCCGCAACGTTTTCTGTCGAATTTCTCTCGCAAAAGCCAGCGTTTAGCTTCGTAACGAACGACGTAAACAAAAAAAAGAACGAAATTAAAGGAAGAATACGTACCGTCTTTATCGTTATTCGCGCTCTTCGAGCGAAACTGCATAAGTGCGCAATACTTTTAATTATCACTGTTCGTTGCGTGAAATTCAGCAATAAATCAAATTAATGATATAGGTACATAGAAGCGTATAAAAACTCTTGTCTCATTTCGACGGACAGTTTAGATTTAGGTTATACATAACATGATGTTTTTCTGAGAAAAGCGGATTGGAGCAAAGCGTTCTGAAATCAGCTGCAATCAGCTGATTCATGCGCGCGAAATTTGACTCTGAAAGAACGCACGCGCACATGAAAAAGACATACAGGATGCTTTCCAGCAAGGAACACAATCAGACACTGTGTAACACAAGGAATCGTTTCATTCTTGTTTAACGTAGGCAAACAATAAGGATGTAATGATTCATTGTGTCATATCTCTAAATACAATTTAGATAATAATGTCACTACTTGCTTATTTTAGTGATAAATAGTTCTAATAGGTATTATTTATTTATAGTTTACTATAATTAATGATAATAAGGTATGAGTTAACAAGACAAATAAAACACATATGATCTCGATGTCTCGAGCTTATGTAAATTATAGGTAAAAATTCAGTTAACTCTTACTTGTCAGAATAAAATAATTCTTACAGCACGAAATATACAGCAGCAACATTACAGTAATATTGAAATATAAGTATTATATTGGAAATTTGCATTAATATTGTGAAATATTGTATATTGTAACATTTAATACTTTGTAGGAAATATTGTAATATATTGCTATATATAGTATATATAAAATATTACAATTCAAGAAGTATTAAAATATTTTACAACACAGTTGCGAAATTGCTTTCTTCACTACTGAATGCAGTCAATTAACCCGGTTGGAGCAGGCTAAAACTTTACCGCACATTTCCGGCGAATCAAATTTTATTTTAAACAAATTCGTTTTCTCCTACAAGAACATTTTTCTTAAAAAAATGAAAGTTTTTTTTATACACAAAAATTACAGCGCATTCGTAATTGACAAATATATAATTTCCTAATATATTCTTCATCCGTGCATTACACAGATATATAAATAATTTTTTAACTTTATCGAATTTTATGTGCCGGAATAAATAAAAATCGCCGTTGTAAGTATATGAATATGTTTCTCTCGAAATTGCGCTGATACGCTTTATCGTGAATTCGAAGTAGAGGAGGAAAAAGAAGCAGTTTCGTTTTTAATACACGCTTTAGTGCGATATCAATTTCAGTCTTAGACATAGGAAGCATACGCGTGTTTCGGGAAGATTCTTTTCTTGTCAGAGATTTGCTACAACTACATCCGATTACGCTAAAATCTATATCAAGAAAAGTCGGCATGTTATGTACAAGACACAGAAGAAAGCCTATTCACATTTTAGGTCACACGCACGCATGCACATCCACAACAAGACAAAATCGTCGATTTTCTATTAAAAAGTACGCAGTCGACGTAATGATTTAGTCAGCGGTATTTGCGTTTTATGCAGAGGATCGTGATGAAATATGTGTATTTTTTTATAAGTGCTTTTTTGCATTAAATGAAATTCTCTTTTGAAAAAATCTTTTTTCCTAGATAAATATTGACAGATATAAAAAAATATTTTATAGTACTTTATAATTTTTTAAACAATTTTTTATAAAACAAAATGTAATTTATAAAAAAATTAACATTTTTTTTATATAATATATAAATTAAAACTACTTTTTATTATTATATGTATATAAAACACTCTTTAAAACTCCCCCATTCAACTTTTAATCAAAACTTTTTTAATATCTGTGATATAGTTTAACCGACATTTACTCACACAAAAAACAACTTTTTTCAAATAAGAATTTTATCTTCTTAACATACGAAAAAACATTTATAAAAAAACTACATGTTTCTTTTTTTCTATATTTTATTGTACCATATCTACAGCTTATTAAAATCAAAAGGAAACATTTGAATTTATGTTTCTTTATAAGATTTTCTAAAATCGAAACAATTCGTGTATCGATGATTTTTATTAATGTTTACACGCGAACATTCATAAAAATCTTTAATGTTTAATTTTATTGACATCCTCATACGTAAACGTTAATAAAGAATAAAGATCTTTGACATGTTGCATAAAATGAAATATGATATGATCTATCATCAGTTTTTATTAACAAATGAGTGGAAGTTCGAAAAGTACATGCTAAAACGCATACAAGATTTAAATACAATCCTTTCTGCGCATATATGACTATAATAACATGTTCTGGCACAGTCGGATTTTCATAGTAGATATTATCAATCGAGTTACACACACATACGCACGCACACACGCACGCACGCGCGCGCGCGCACACACACACACACACACACACACACACACACACACACACACTCTCTCTCTCTCTCTCTCTCTCCCTCTCTCTTCTGAAATCTGATACTTTCATACAAATGTATGTATGTAAATATAATGTGATCTATTTATATATATTTATATAAAATACATACTTTAAAAATAACGCTTGATCGAGATTGCATGGAATTTTCTTAGAATGCTCTATAGCTCCATTTATTCCAAAAAAATCATCACATATTTCGTAACATGTGTAGTTATTAGAGGGATGTGTTTAGTCAAAAACACAAGATCGAGTCTCATCGATATCGACATAAGCTGACGAAAATAATAGAAGAAGGAAAGGAGTATTAAATGTAGTATGAGCTTGAAAACTTAATACTTATGCTTTGGTTTAAGTAAAGGGAAGATCTTGCGGAGTCTACATGACGTCATTATTCAAGCAAAGCGTCAGAGAGAGAAATAGAGCCATTTGTACGATATTATTCGGAGAAGTCTAGGACAAACGCGTCTATATATTATCATTATTATTATTATTATTATTATGTAGGACAAGATCATTATCTCATGAATTACAGCAGCACTTTTGCGTAAATGTATATACACTATGTTCGACATATGCTGGTATGTATTAGAATTTCACCCTGCCAAAAATCATTTTGACAGACTTTCGGAAGCTAGGAAAAACAACCAATATTTGTTAATTTTTTTTACAGATATCTTTGACTTTTGAGTGTGAGAATATGCAACTGTTACCTTAAAAACAATTCAGAAGAAAATTATTTAAATGTTCTGTTGTGACTTAATAAGGTTGGGATATTGAAATATACAGATAAAAATAAGAGACACATATTTGTTTATAAGTGCTTAATTGCATTATTAAGAGAATCCTAAAATCATCTGTTTTGCCGATTATTTTTCAACTAAGTATTTTTTTTCACAAAAAAGTATAAACGGTAATAATCCAACCAAGTCGACTTTATGCTAAAAACGATAAAAGTTGGTAAAAGATTTGTTATTGACTTTTGGTGTCGACTTGTAAATATATATTTGTTTTATATACAAGATTTATACTTTATACATATAAACAATCTTAATTTGGATTAAGAATTACATGAATAAACACAATATTAAGTGTGTGTTCTGAAAATTAAACTTACAGGAAGGCAGCGTACTTGAGGTCATAAAATTGAAAAACTTTATGTGATATAGTACTCTATCTACCAGGAGAGTATTTGAGCAAAAGAGTAGGATTCAACGCTTAGCCATTTCCGAGAAAAATCAATTTGAAAAATATGGTTTTTCTTATATACCGATTCCCTTATATCGATCAGCGAGAAGTAGCTCGGGCGTTAATGTGTTCTACAATGAAGTCCAGTTAGATCAGATGATCAGGCTGGCTAAAACACTATTCCTTTACGTTAAAAAACGAAGCAATGTTTATTTTTTTTTGCGATTTTCTTCAAAACAAAGCAAAAATGAGTATATTTCTACAAGACTTTTTTTTCATGGTTTATCGATTCCTTACACACTTTTAAAGTTTTGACATTTACATTTTGGACACCCTGTAATGCGTGCGATATTAATGTAGTATATAGTGACGTGTCAATGATACGTAAATCATTATGTGTGTAACTCCTACTGATTTGATAAAACAGACGATTTTAGGATTCTCTTAAGGGAATGAAATTCTCTCTTGAAAAAAAATCGATTTGTTTCTTTTTTTTTCTTAATGAATACCGTCTAAAGTATAAACAACATTTTTTATACAAAAATTAGATTTTGAAAATATTTTATAATAACAAATTTTTTAATTTTTCATTTTCTATAAATAAAGAAAATCCATTAAAATTTTATATGAAAATTAATTTACATAAATATTTTTATCAATATTAATATATATATTATTCAAAATTTATATATATAAATAAGATAATATAGGTATATATATATATATTTTATATA